TTAGGATTTCAAATCTTACAGGATGTTAAGAACCAGGATTTTGGTTCAGGTCCATCTCTAGGATAAACCCAAAGTATATTAAATATATGTAACAAACTATAGTCATGAAATGTTAAGGTTACAAGCTCAAACACCAAAAGTCAGCAAATGTAAAAAGTAAGGTTTTCAGAAAAGCACTGGGAACAGCTAGGGACTTTCAGCCACCCAGGATGTGGGTGAAGCTCCTTGCAGTGGGGGCGGGAGTGCACTTTTTTTTTTTCTTCTCCCCCTTCTGGGCAGGCTCAGACATTTAGGACAGTTGCTTGAACTCTTAGCTCTTCAGCAACTCTTGACAGTAACCAGCTGCCTCGCTGATTCAGCATCTGCCACTGTATCAACTAACATATTTGCAAGCTGTTACTGTTACAGCTTCTCTAGTTATAGCTCCTAGTTTGTGTTTTATAAATACCTGCTTTATTTATTCACTAAAAGTGGAATCCAAATAATGCTATTCATCATAGTTATGACTGTCCAAAACAGACTGTTACTTATATGGAGAGTTCACTAAAGTTATTTCTGGATTTGTTCTGTTCATCTGAAATAAATGATTCAGACTGAAAGTAGCTGTTAGCTGTTTGTGTATAGGGAAACATCGTAGATTCACTTGCAAAATTTGATAGGAGAAATTAATTTTGTGGCAATAAGATTACATGGGATCTTGACTGAGGCATTTTGCAGTTCCCTATTAGACAGATCAGGAAGCAACTTTTAACTATTTCTAATTTTCTTATAATTTAGTAAGAGTGTTTGTTTTCCAAATAAGGCAAAATACTAGTTTTTAATGAGAGCTAGACAGAGAAAGATTTAAGTTGCTTTAGTTCAGTAATTTTAGAGCAGCTTGGCGAGCAACAGAAATCTTAATTTTTTGCAGTTTAAAAAGTTCAACTGTTGTGGTGTTTCTGTTTTATTTCCTTCTCTAATAACTCAAGCACAGCTCTATCTTTTATTTAAAAAACATCATTTTGGGATTGAGACCATGAAAAAATTCAGCCCACAAGAAGACTTTCAGAAAGTTATGAACAACTAAAAATAGGGATTTGTAACAGAGATGTTATTGCAGTCATAAGTATAGCGTTTAGGAACATGAAGATTGCCATACTGGATCAGACCAATGGACCATCTAATCTGTTACCCTATTTCTAACAGTGGTTGATATCAGACAAAGGTATAAAATCTACATAATACACAATTATTCAATAGTGTGCACATGGGGAAAGATGTGTGTGTTTTCATACTGATGTAGTGGTATTTTAGCACCTAAATAGGACAGGAATTAGTATTAAATAAGCAATGTAAGAGACAGATACTTGCACTGAAACATTAAGGGTTTAGATTCTTTATTTATCCTATGTAATATAACAAGAAGGTATTCTTAGACTATCTTGTTTAGGTTCTTATGTCTACCATCATAACATTCATCTAACTATTTAATCCTTTAAAAAATCCTATTAAATCCTAAACTTCAATAACATCTCAACTCACTAAGATGCATAAATTAATTGCACTACTCTAATCTCTAAACACTATTTATTTTCCAGGTAGATTTAAAGGACCAGATTTTTGTCTACAAAATAAACATTTAAATAATAGTTTTACGATATGGCAATGTAATTTATTGTATCTTAATCCTACAATAAGTACTAATATTTTGAAATGGATTTTTTTACAGTTTTTGTATTAATTTATAGACTTCTCATTTAAGTTCATAAATCGCACATAGAACACTATTTAGACTACAATCTACAACCATTTCCTGGCTCAAGCCTGTCACTGAGGGAAAGCAGCTGTATGACTTACACTGACATCAGCGTCATGGTACAACAACTGCTCTGCCACGGATGTGGAAGCCCAGACTATTAATGTAGGAAAAAGTCCCTTCAAGTGTGCAGCATTACCAAGAATATGGTTGGGATTATTGTGCCAGGTAAGATGCATAGTTCACCTTTAAAGGTATTCTAGCCCACTGACCTGGAACATAAGTTATTTTAGATTTTAACCAGAATAATTATCTTGAGAGTACTTAAGTGCTGAACAGAGTAATTGAGTTTAAAAATAAAAGCTGTGTGTTCTTCCTTATCTTTAGTTTGATCACTTGAATTTTCCATATATAATTATCAGCAGGGCTCAACAAATAATACAATCTACTCGCCTATGACGAGTAGATTACAACCCGGAAGAGCTGGGTTTGGGCGATCTGTGCATGCACAGATCGCTGGACAGCACAGCTGGCAAGCGGAACTGGCCGCAGTTCAGCGAGCCCTGATTATCAGCATACAACCTGTTCGTTTAGGTAGACTTTCATGAAAAGGATGAGGTGTGCTGGATTCTGAAACTGGATAAACTAGAGCTGTGGTGTCCAACACACTAGCCACTAGTCATATGTGGCTATTTGACCAGGGTAGTGTTGCTAGTTGGCTTGAACAATGTGGCTATTTGGCCAGTTGGGTGTGCCTAGTTCGCTATAGAAGTAGCCATAACGTAGGGCCAAACGCAGATGATAGCTTTCCTTCAGGTCTGAATTGTCTTAGTGAGGGCAAACTGCTCTGGTTTTCTGATGAGTGAGGTACTCTTGGGGAGTAGAAGGTTGTAAATGATAAAATAATCTAGTTTCAGCCAATGAAGGACTTTAAAGATTTGGATCAGAATATGAGTAGCAACTAGCACAGAGTACAGAGCACTTGTCCAGTGTGTTCCTTGTGGTTCAACTCACTCATAAAGCTAGTTGCTATGTTTTGGACAATCTGGAGTTTTTGCCTGGCCATGGTTGCCAAAGCCAAAGTAGTGAGAGGTTAAGACTAGAGGTAACTTGACATCAAGGAGGCTGCATGTACTGATTTAAAATAATAATTAGTTATTTGTAGATAGTTTTAATACACCTATTCCTAGATCTTCAAAGTTAGATTAAATATCTTCTTCCAACAAGGAGCCCCCCGCAGCCCAAACAACCCCTAACAGTAACCCAAAGCTGGAATATAGCCCTGTGCCCAAACTGCTGTGGAAATCTGGTCAAGAAATTGTAGGGTTTTTGTTTTTAAATCACAGTTTCTCAGGATTTGTTTCTATTATTTTTTCCTCTCCCTTTCTCTTTCCTCCCACCCCCATTCCCAATGCTGACATGGAAAATGAGGGAAAATAAGAGGGGAGAGAAGGGAGTGAAGGAAAAAGATAGAGAAAGAGGATGGAGACTGACTGAACAAAGGAACAATTCAGAATATAAAAAAAAATTCTTAGCAATAATTCATTTAGAAAAAAGAGTATTTGGGGGCATTGTAGGGGAATGTTTGAGGAAAAAGGTTGACTTAGCCTTGTACAGTGCCCTGCTGAAGCTCATGGTGGAGGGTTGGGGGAGGGAGGGGAAAGGAATGAGGTAATTATACGGTGACCATATTTTCTGAACCAAAAATGGGGACACATGATATAAGGGCCCTACCATTAATCAAATGTTACCCATGCCCCGATGCCATTAGCCATGCCCCCTGACTCTTTAGGCCCCACCTGCCTGCCACAGGATGTCCCACCACTGGGGGTAGTAATTCCGGGGTCAAGATGGACACAGGACCAGAAGTAAAGGGTATCATGTGACCCCTCTAAGAATTCCTCCCACTATCCTCTACTAATATGGATGGGTTTGGGCCCCATAGGCCCACCTGAAGAGCAGATTTGTCCAATCAGAGGGAGTTCAGGGGCCGGGTGATGGGTTCAGAAGTGGGTCATGTGACCCCCCCTCTAAGAACGCCTCCCACCGTGTGTGCATGTGTGTGTAGATGCTCATGGCACTGCTTGTCAGAAGAGGGTATGTGGAGTAGGGATGTGAATGCTATCAGATAGTCCAGTCCACTAGTCACTTCTCTCCCACACCTTGCTGCCTCTATCAAAAAAGGAAAGGGGGGAAGAGAACAGGGTACTTCAAAGCGGAAGTGCCACATGGAGACTGTAGCCAGATCCTGGAGTCCATACAATGCTGATGCTTTGGGCCATCTGCAGGTGGCATTTCAAAGTGGCAGCGCAGCATGGAGCCCAGGGTCAGCAGGGGAGTCCCCAGCTGATCCCAGGGCTCCACCTGCCTTTCCTCTTTGAAGTGTAGCAATAGCCCTACACTGCGGGACTGCTTGGGGGATGGAGAACTGGGGCCCTGTGGAGCATACAGATGGGCGACAAATCAATCAATGCGGAGTGGGGGCGGGGCCGAGCTCCTGACGCTCCGCGGTGCTCGGGGTCGGGCGGGAAGGACACCCACCAATGGGCTTTTCCCCTCCTCCCTTTCCGTTGTGCAGTGATGCCGGGAACTAGGGGGGTTGTGGTTGGTAGCAGGGGAGCGATACAGGGGTCGCTGGGTGTGCGGAGTGGGGGCGGGGCCGAGCTCCTGACGCTCCGCGGTGCTCGGGGTCGGGCGGGAAGGACACCCACCAATGGGCTTTTCCCCTCCTCCCTTTCCGTTGTGCAGTGATGCCGGGAACTAGGGGGGTTGTGGTTGGTAGCAGGGGAGCGATACAGGGGTCGCTGGGTGCCGAGGGGCGTTCTGCGGGCACGTGGGGTGCTTAAGACCAGTGTGGGAACCAGCAGCGCCTGGCCTGGCCTGGCTCTGGCCATG